GTTTTCTAACAAGAACCAGAATCAACTGTAAATTGATAAATTTAACTACATGGAAAAATTGTTTTTAATTTCATGGCAAGAAAAAAAAAACCACCATTAGGTCAAAAGACATATAAAAACTCGGGCAAAATATTTGCAACATATGTCATAGATAAAGGGCTACTTCACTAACATATACTGAACTCAGAATTGAGGTCAAAAGAATCTAAACTAAGCACCTGAAAGAAAAATGAGCAAAATGCTGACGGCTCCCACCTCAATCTTAGTAAAAGCCAACATGCTGGCAGTGGCCGCCAGGAACTACATGACCCAGAGGCTGCTGAGCTCTCACCTTCTCTGCTAAAACCACCCCCTCCACTCACTCCACTGCAGCCACTCTGGTCTTGCTCTTCCCGACACAGCACACTCACCACTCACTCCCGTCTTGGTGCCTTTGATTTAGAGGTTTTCACTGCCCGGGATCTCTTCCTTTGATGTCCACTTATCTGCCTTGCTCACTTCCTTCGAATTCTTTGTATCACCCTGAACCCTTTATTTGGCCAGTCGCCTCCTCCCACATGCATTCTCTATTTCTGGTAATCTGCTTTTTTTTTTTTCCTCCATAGTATTTATTACCTTCTGGCTTACTGTATTAATTTTTTTATTAGCTTTACTGTTTATTGTCTGTCTCCCTCTGCAAGAAGGTAAACGCCACAAGAGCATGGATCATTGTTTTGTTCAATGATACTTTTTCAAGAATCTAGACTAGAACCTATACATGGTAGGCATTCAATATTTTTTCAATATTTTTTCAACAAGGATTGTATGGTGTCAATAAAAACACAATAGCTATAATAGACATTATATATAGTATGCAGTTATATTTCAGTGCTTGGAAAACTGAAAGTTCCCTAATGCAAAACTTTCCATTCTCTAGTCATGGAGCATAATTTGCATTTACATAGTGAGCAAAAACACTGATAATTCAAATCAGGACACCCAAATATGGCCAAAAATCTGAGTATGCTTACTGGAGTGGGTGAGTTCAAAACCAAATTCAATGTGGCCAAAAGAAAAACCTCAAAGCAAACTTTGGGCTCGGTGGGCAGGAACATGGGGGAAGTCGGAAGAAAAATGGTGAGGACCATGACCATTTGCTACAGGCTCCTGTAGTACCCTTATGGAAAGTAACTTGTTTTGAAGAAGCTCCTTATCTGCCCTGTTGTCTTGTGTCCACCTTACTTCTCTTGCTTGGGGTGGGGGTGGGGTGTGCTCTGCCCTGTGGCTCCCAGGTAAGGAATTCAGATTCCAGCGACCTGTTGTTCAGGTTATTGTTGCTGTGTAACAAATCACTCCACACTTAGTATTATTATTATTTTTTTAAGATTTTTATTGGGGATTTGGGGATGGGAACAGCGCTGGGGAATTGGGGGAAGGGGAACAGACAAGTTGCTGTCGTTTTGTTCTTTAGTCTAGTTGTGGAGGACGTTGCTTCACTGGCCCAAGTTGGCACCATCATTGCGCTCCTCCGGGTGAGGCAGACCAGTCGCTGTCCCCGGAAGGCCACACACGCCGGCCGCTGGCCACACACGGCAGCCCATGGCAACCCACTGCAGCAGGGGCTGCAGCCTACGCCATCGGCGGCGACCCACAGCAGCCCAGTTCCAGGTTGAGCTGTTGCTCAGCATCTTAGCTGTAGAGGGCAGTGTCACTGGCCCTCACATGTGGGATCCGAACCGGGGCCCTCTGGCATCCCAAGCCAGCCCCCAACCAACGCTCCACTCGCCCGGCCCCACCCTTAGTATTTTAAAACCACCACTGTATTTTGTTCACAATTTTTTGGGTCAGGAATTTGAAAAGGGCTCATGTGGGCAGTCCCCCTGCTATTGCAGTCAGTTGGCTGGGTCTGCAGCCATTTGAATGCTCACCTGGGCTGGACATTCAAGATGGCGCATTCGCATGGCTGGTAGTTAATGCTGGCTGCCATCTGGAAGCTCAGATCTGCTGCCGACCAGAATGCCTGGTGGTCTCAGGCGGCTGGTCTCCCTCGGAAGACCAGGTGGAAACTGCATGGCAACTTGTGACCTAGCCTCAGACACTGCACTGTGTCACTTCTGCCATAGTCCATTAGTGAGTCACTAAGGATGGCTCAGATGCAAGGGAAGAAAACATAAACCCCACCACTCAATAAGAGCGCATAAGAATTTGCAGAAATATCTTAAAACCACCATACCCACCAAACATGAAGCTGCAAAGTGGAGTTGCCGTAAAGTAGTAAGTCTTATGATGATCAGACGCCCAGAGCTAGTGGTTGATGTTTTAGAAAAACAAGAACCATCTCATCATGTCCTTCAGGTACTTATCCTCTATGAGCTCTCTCCCCTTTCCTCAGAGTGCTCCCTTCAGCCTCGGGAAGTTGTTAACAGTAGCTTGGCAGGTAGAATGGCATGGGTAGCAATGATGGGGCCTGGGAGAAGAGCCATTCTAAACTGTTTCACTAGACTCACCCCCTAAGAAAATTCACAGAAGCTGCTTTTCTTTTGTGCAGAGCACCCAAATTGTACTCATGCAAGCATGATTATTTATTAAGTGCCAATGATGTGCCTGACGCTGTATTCAAGGCTATTGTACGTACAAATCCCAGTCCTCGTAGGAGTTACAGGGAGGAAAACAAGAAGAGTGGGTAGACAGGGGTAAGTGGGGAGAGCACCACAGATGTCAGGGAGGTAATGTGGCACCATTCAGAACTTGGGCTTCTCCTGTAAATGGGATGGGAGCTGTGAGGGTTTTGTGCACAGGAACGGCGTGACCTGAGTCATGTCTTCACAGGTGCGCTGAGATCAGGCTGCTAGGGCAAGGGAAGGATCAGAGAGACTGGTAAGCAGACTACTAGAACAGTCCAGTTGACAGTGGGCCGGACCGGGGTCACTGGCAGCTGAATGGTGAGCGGTGGCTGTGTTGGATACATTCTGGAGGCAGAGCCGCTGGGCTTCTACCAAGGTTTGTGTCTGCAAGCTTGCCTATGTTTTCAGTACACGTTTGCAACTTGAGACTCATTTGATAGATTAACAGCAGATGTGACTTCTGTGGCGGAAAAGATCAGATGTCATGTCCAACAATAAAATACAAGACACACACAAGGACATTACTAACTTAGAAACAGTCCCCCAAATCACTTAGGGGTTTTTACACAAGTAAATCCAGGAACGAACAAATTTCTGTTTGACCATATTCTCTTTCCCCTCCCTTTCTTCCTCTTTTTAATATCACACGAGGTTAATTCAAGCATATATTGCTACTTGTTTGTAGAAGTTGCTCCCCAGAGAGTTCCTCTAACTCCAGGTAACAGCTCAACGAAGTGCACATAACACAGCCTTTTACATATTCAGCCTAACTGTGGCACTTAAGGATGGGGAGAAACATACCTAGGTTTGCTCTCCAATCTATTGAATAAATGAAACACAGAAAAGATTTAGAGAATCAAAAGGTTAATAAAGCCTTCAAGGATTGAGCTGGTCTTGTGTGATGGGCACTGAGGATATAGACATATGTGGGGAGCCCACCTTACAGGGGCTCTCAGAGGGGAGAACCACTTAGTAGGCCATTACCATCCATGTGTCAAGTCTCATGATGTGCGTTAAAGCACGTGGTGGGTCCAGAAGAATGGTTTAAATAAACTTGCAAATGTTCAAATATAATTTTCCTTTCTGTGACGTAAGGCATCTTGAATTCAACGAATTGTGAAATCAAGCAAATGATGTTCTCACAGAATGAACTGAAAGAATCCATAGCTATTGAAATATCTAGTTGTTGACCATTATCTTGTCAAAGCTTAACATTACATTTACTTAATAAGGGAATGATACCTGTAATTCTGAAATATTAAAATCAGGTGACTTTATTAGTTGGGTTTGATTTTCATGGAAGAGTCTACAGGCTATTGACTATTCTTGAATGTTATAGGAATTGATGACAATCCCTGTTGTGAGGGCAGATTTAAGTAATAGTCCCTTAGAGTATCACAAGTTCAACAGTCATACTTGAGAAGAGTGATTCCTAAGTTATTTTAAGTCATTAGCTTGATTTGGGGACACATCTTCATTCTTTACTGTGCGTTAATGTAATCTATTTCAAATAAAAATAAATTCACGTTCCAAAAGAAATTTTCTAACAGTTTCAAAATGAAAAACTAGTGGAGTAGCATAAAACACAGATTAAGGGTCACTGCTCTTTAGAATGTATGGGAAACGAATAATTGGTTTGTAATAAACTTGTCGTTATATCATCACAGAAGCCACGTATCAGTGCCACCTCTGATTCATGAGTCCAGGGAAAGAAATGGTGAATAGAGTTCTAAGCTCCTCTTGATCTTCAACTCTAGGGTGTGGGAAAACCCGCTATACTGCCATTGCTGATGGTATAAAGAAATCCCTGTTACTTTATCTTTCTCCAAAAGTCAAATTCAGGATCTAACGTTTCTTAAAATATGCAAGAGCCAGATGGGAACTAGAAAAAGGAGCCTGGGCTTTGAGGTCGTACAGGCCAGAGTTTGAACCTCCCATTGTATACAGTTAAGCTGAGGAATCACTTCTGCTAGGTCAGAGCCACTCTGTATATATTGATAAAACAGCTGGTGCAGTGGAGACTAGGGCACAGGTCATGGTGTCTCTTCATAGTTCAGTACTCTCTGAGGGCCTGATCTCCTGAGCAACTGGCTCCAGGGCTTCACAAACTTGAAAAGAGAGAATAACACCCACTTCCCTTGTGTAAAACACTCTTTATACATTATTAGCACATTAAGGCAGGTGGTGTGGGGAAGGCGTGTGCTTTCAAATCAGACAGGATCTTCTTGGTTTTTCTCATCTGTACGTGGGGACAATAATGCCTCGCAGAAGTGTTACAACGATTGAATAATACGACACAGGAAAGCACCTGGCACACAGAGGGTGCTAAACATGGTAGCTATTATTAATGTTCTGCATCCAGATCAAACATAACAACAGCTAAATTAAGCAACAGAGTAACAAGCAAGAAACATTTTATTATATGCATATTCTCAAAAAACCCACAGAAACAGAACCCACAAATAGGAGCAAAGGACAAAGTTTTCTAGCTCTCTGGGATAGGCAGGGCACCATATCTCATAGAAACATAGCTAGTACACGGACAAAATATACTAACTGACATCACCCTGCTTCCGCAGTCAAAAGAGGCTAGAGAGAAGAACACTTTAAATTGTATTCTAATATAAATTCGTTGCACAATTCAAATAAACTTCAACTTGCTCAAAGAGTTGTTGTATAATAAACTGCAGAAAATAGAGTAGGCATTCAATAATCTGCTCACAATTAACAATTAAGCAATAGACACTGGGATAAATATAGCCTGTATTACTTATTTGTTAAACCTCACATTTATAATGAGCAGATGGTTTACCATTAGTACTGGTTTCTTCCATTTTCAGAGACACCAGATCCAGGAACAGAAACAGAATTCAATTTAAAGAAAACTCTTTTTAGAAAACATTTTGGATCTGAGCCACTGCTGTGTTTATTATAGACATAGGCCCGTTTCAACAGTTTTAAAATGTGGAAACTAATAAACTGAATTCTTTAGGGGGAGAACAAAGTGACGCATTCTAGAGCAACATATTTTGCTTCTATCCTCTAGGTGGCAGGACAGAACTGCGACATAGTGAACAGAGATGTACAATGAAATGAATAGTGCTTCCACCTAATGCTGTTGGGGTATTTCTATCACTAATAAAGGGCAATTTAAAAACATATTTAAAATGAAGAATTGGCATTTTCTTATCCCATACATACTAAATCCAAACATAAACATAAGGCTCTTCTCTAACATTCTGTACTTCTTAATCCCTATTTGTACAAACTAGCATGAGTATTCAGGAATGGAAAAACCAGCAAACGTTACTTGAAGAACTACTTTAAAAGACCCGTTTAAGAGTAATGCAGTCAAAATAAGGCAATAACTACAAGCCTAGCTATACTTTCCTTATGTGCCCAGTCAGTAAAATTGAGAAAATAATTTTTGCCCACTTCTATAAAAAAATATTACCCCATTTGCTAGTGTGTGGCAGAGACAAGACGAGCCTGCCATGTGCGTTGTCAAACAGAAAAATGGGAATAGGCCTGGGTAGAGAGAAAGCCGTATTGAAACACTCTGCTTTCCTTTTCCAGATACCACGCTCCAATTCTTCCTTAACTATACATTCCTTCCTTGATTAATATTAGCTTAGCCCCTTAAGAGGCACTATAACAGCCTTATAGTCTCTATGCAACACTGGGGCTTTTCATTAAGAATTTTTAAAAATAAAAAGTAAGTCTGAAAGCGATGGCAAATTCTTGGCAGCTGTGATGTTCTGCTCAGTCTATCATAGACATTTAAAAAATCACATTTTACAGAACAAAGAAAAAGAAAAGCCCAGTTCAGCACTCTTCAATGTGGCAAGGAAATCGGTCATATTCTATTTTCTATATTTCTATATTCTTAGGACTTCACAAAATCCCCGGGATAGCACCTTTATGTGGCTAAACTCAAGTTAACATTCAACATTGCCATTTAAACGTTACCATCACTCAATTTTTCCTCCAGGCTAGGTTAGCAATGTATATTTTGCAAAAAGCCTAGGAAAAGTTTTTTTAAAGAAAACATCTTCTTAGGTGCTATAACACAAAAATTATGAGGAGCAACAGAAACCCTTCATTCTTATTTGTGAGGGCAATGCCAGTCATTCTAACACAGGATGTGCCTGACCGCCTTCCCTCTCCTTATTATCTGTGTCACTTGGCCATTTTAGTTTAACTGCCTATCAACCGTTGCAGTGCCTCTTAGCTGTCATTAAAAAATAAGATCTAGTCCCTTAGTTGCATCATATAGACTGACCACGTGGTCTTCATGAGATCCCAATAGTAACGCAGTGGGGAGTTTTTATCAACATCCATTAGTAAGACTAACAAAAATACTGCTGCTATTTTAAAGTTTGTCTTTAAAAAAGTAGGCCTCTCTCCACTCACTTCCACAGTCCTCAAGTACTAGATTCATGTACTATTGTTAAAAACAAATAATCAAACAAATAAATATTTGAATATTAAAAGTAGGCTCCCTGTCCTCCACCTCTTCCCCATCCCGGTACTAAGTGGCCAAAACCCTTTAAAACCCCATTTGATATAACAGATTTTGCAAGTTGTTATGAAACCAAGTCACAAGTTGGGAATAACGGTTACTGCTCTGGTTTACCAATTTCCTTCTGTGAAATGTTAACAATATTAGTTACGGCTGTAAGTCAACATATAATAGTTTAAAAAGCTTTGGAGTTCTTGCCTGAGGTGTATGTTAAATTGCCACGGTATCACAGGGGCTCATCTTGGATCTAGAAATACAGCGTGTCTGTTAGGAGCACGGAGCTGCTCCATGGAACAGACCCGTCCCGTCACACCCACGCTGGGAGCTGGGTTTTCCATCAGTCATTACTAACTGCAACGAGAAAAAGTCAGGCGGCTCGTGTGGCTCCCATGGTAACAGCACCATAAAAAACGTTTTGTCCTCAGAGCGCATGTGTGGGGAAGTGAAGCCTGTGGACTGCCTGGGTTAGGACAGAAGCGTCACGACTCCCAGCTGTGAAGGGCCGCCCATGGCATGCTGACCAGCGGGACAAACAGGCGAGGCGGGCTGAGTGCTAAGTGCAGAGAATGGCGCTGTCTGAAGAGAACAGGGGTCTTTAGGAAGTCTGTCAATAACTAAGTGTAAAGCACAATCATATCCCACCAGCATATGAGGAGAGCTCTCTACTGCACCCCTCAAGAAAGAGAAAACAAGTCCTCCTGCCCGGGACTCCTGCTCCATCAGCAAAGAGTGGAGGAGCCCCTGCTGGGCCAGCAGGTCTGAGGGGACGTGTGTTTGTACTCGCGACTGCTTTAAGACAGTTCTAGGCATAACTTTTTTGTTCCATATATTTTTCTCTAAAACTCCCATTTGCTAGATGAATCTTTTAGTACACACATTAGCTCACGGTTCATGAGGAAGCTTCGTTGTAGGAATTCCTTGTCCATGTCAGTCACTTCCACAGGTAGTTCCACAAATGCCCTCAAACACACCGGTATGCTTTTTTTTTCTTTTGAAAAATGTAGATCTGTGTTTAAGTGGCTCCTGTCCGTGCAGGTGACAGTTACTGTGGCGCTCCAGGGAAGGACTGCATTTGGTGCAGGTGGCCGTGGAGGTGCAGACATCGCCCAGCTCCCGGATCAGTGTGGGGAAAAGCCAGTCGCCAGGCTGCAGCCCACCACGGGCGTCATGTCCCATATCTGCAAGAAAGGAGATGCAGGTCACGTGGTCTAACCGGGAGCGCCAACAGCGAAACAGCCATTAAACTGGAAAAGGGGTCAAAAAACTCATTCTCTTCTTTCACTGCAAAATCTGAAGACCACAGTGATAAAACAACACAGCTCACCAAAACATGAGGGAAGCTTTTAAGGAACATCTCAACACGTGCAAGTCCCATCGTAATAATGTTTTAGGGCCGGCCGAGTGGCTCAGCTGGTTAAGAGTTAGCTCAAGAGCGTGAGCTCTGAGCAACAGGGCTGCCAGTTCGATTCCCACATGGGCCAGTGACGTTGCGCCCGAGCTGAGCTGTCACTGAGCTGCCAACAGGTGGCAGGATGGCTCAGCTGGTGAGAGCACGTGCTCCTAACAACAAGATTGCCTGTTCGATGGTGGGCTATGCCCACCCGCAACTAAGACTGAACTCGGCACCTTGAGCTGAGCTGCCGCCTGGATAGCTCAGTGGATAGAGCGTGTGCGCTCTTAACAACAAGGCTGCTGGTTCTACTCCTGCATGGGATGGTGGCTACGCCCACTGGCAACTAAGAATGAACACAGCACCTTGAGCTTAGAGGCCGCGAGCTGCTGACGGGCAGCCAGATGGCGACTGGCACCCTCCACAATGAAGATTGAAGAACAACAACTTGTCTGGTCTCCCTCCCCAATTCCCCAACACTGTTCCCCTCCCCCAATTCCCCAATTAAAAAAAAAAAAGAGTGGTACAAAGTATAAAACAATTACTTTTAGCTTCTGTGTTAATGCCCCAGGGACTTAATGAAAAAAAGTGTGTGATTACTTCTTACACTAGGAAGCCTGCTGCCCAGGATGAAAGGAATGACTAGAGCAAGGGGTCAGCCCGGCCAGCTGGGGAGGGGGAAACCTTGGGCTCAGCCAGAAAAGTTGTGGAGGAGATATGGGACTCACAAGTTTGCAGTTTGTTACTCAGGGTTTCAACTGGCTATAGGTTCCTTATGAAAAGGGAAGGCAAGCTTGCCAATCAGAAAGCCAGACTGAACTAGATGTCTCATGCCCGTTCACAGCACCACGAAGGAGCAATCTGCAGAGATGCTAACCGGGCTAATTAAGCAGGTTACCTTTACAATGCGATCGGTCCCACAGGTCACCATCAGTCCCCTGGCAACGTCCATGGACATGTGGGAAATGTTATGTTTTCCTTCATGAAAAGTTGCTAGAGAAGTCCGACTAACAAAGACAAAAGGGACCGTTTAAAACTCACTTGGCTGCACCAAGAGCTAAGGGATACGTTTTCTTAGAACATAAAGGAAGTACAGTTGCCCTTGAACAGCGCAGGTGTGAACTGTGTGGATTCATTTATAGGTGAATTTTTTTCAATAAATACATACAGTACTGTAAATGCATTTTCTCTTCCTTATGGTTTTCTTAATAGCATTTTCTTTCCTCTAGCTTACTTCATTGTAAGAATACAGTATATAATGCACATAACATACAAAATATGTGTTAATTGACTGTCTATATTATCAGTAAGGATTCCGGTCAACAGTAGGCTGTTAGAAAAGTTTCTGGGGAGTCAAAAGTTATACGTGGATTTTCAACTGCGCAGGCACTTAACCCCGGCGTTGTTCAAGGGTCAACCATACTTATAATAATAGCATGGCTACTGTTTTGAAAACTAACTTTATATAATTAAAGGATGAGGAACTCATGACAGAAGTTGCAAGACTGTTCTAGAAAAGATTTATAAAACTCCCCAAATGGCTGATTTTTCTTTTTAGTGGAGAGGTCATATATTCCCAGGCATAAAAACAAGAGCCTTTAATATGGACGAGGAACTGCACTGCTTCAGCTTGTACAGCGTGGGCAAAACACTCCTACAAAGCCTGTAGTCCCCCAACCTCTCTGGGGTCCAGGCAGCAGCTCTCTTTCACAGAGCTGCCCCTTGCTCTGCTTTGAAGCCCACAGCCCGAGCCTCACCACGAGCTCGCTGACCGACACCCGTGGTGCCCACCAGCTTCCCACCTTGGCCCTTTGCCTGTCTCCTCCTTTCCGAGACGATTCAAAGGGAAGGGACAGAAAAGGATGGTTCTGTCCCAATGGATCTGCCTGAGTCAGGACAGAATGAGGACAGATTTGTCTTACACACAAATAGTTATTTAACAACAGTTAATAGATCAGACTTTGCTGGAAGAAAAAACATTCGTCTCTCGAGTTTTCCCAGTAATTAAATGTCCATGCATGGGTGAGCAAAGGTGGGCGTACTGGACGCTTTTGGAGAGAGCTGGCCCAGCCGCTGCATCAGTGTGCGATGGCCTTGCCGGGCACAGCACCTGGAGGCCTTGGGGCCAAGAACGTCCACCAGCTGCTGGGCTCGTACTACTAAGTGTTCAGGAGAAATGTGTCTTAAGTCATAAGTCTAGGGCGGAATCCTCTCTTAGAAATCATTTACGAAATTGAGAAGATACACCCGTGTTGCTTGAGGCTCTTCCCATTTCAGAAGCACAGTAAGACAGACGTGCAAACACTCACTCCTCCTCTTTGATGGAGTCGTAACAGGAGTCGCACATCCGGACTTGGAACTCGAAGCCCATGACCGGGTAGCTTGAGCGCTTGCTGCTGCACTTCCCGCAGACAGCCTGTCCGCACTTCCTGCAGTGATGCTGCAGAATGAGGGAGAGAGGAAAGGAGGCGCTTAACTTTTGCTTTAATGCACGTGGTTTCCTTTCAGAGTACAGGAATGGAAGTGGGGAAGACTTGCCTTGAATTATTATCACCCCAATTCACTGTAACAATTAACACGCAAAAGGTAGACGATTTCAACATCTGTCAAGGATTTCCAAACAACCTCATTTTATTGGTCACATGCTGCTTTTTGTTCATTCATGTTACCTTACCTGTCTTGATGTCAACAAACATTATTAAAACCAACTTCAAGTTCATTTAGGAGCCTAAATGACTAGAGATTTGGGGAAGAGAAAAATCTATTCCTGTGTCAAAGAAAAGTTCTGAAATCAAGTTTTGAATGTAATATGCCCTCATTAAGAAACAAATATCCAGGGCCGGCCTAGTGGCTCAGTTGGTTAAGAGCACGAGCTCTGAGCAACAGGGTTGTCAGTTCGATTCCCACATGGGCCAGTGAGCTGCACCGGAACTGAGCTGCTGCTGAGCTGCTAACAGGTGGCAGGATGGCTCCGCTGGTGAGAGCACGTGCTCCTAACAACAAGGTTTCCGGTTCGACTCCCGCATGGGATGGTGGGCTACGCCCACCCGCAACTAAGATTGAACACGGCACCTTGAGCTGAGTGGCCCTGAGCTGCCAACGGGCGGCTGGATGGCGACTGGACTAAGAGCTGAGTTAGCTGCGCCCTCCACAACTAAGACTGAAGGACAACAACGTGGCTGTTCCCCTTGCCCAATTCCCCAATAAAATCTTTTTAAAAAACCAAAAAATAACAAATATCCATAATCAAATGTTTTACTATTTCTTTTAGTCTTTCAAATTGTGACTCTGGAAGTAAGCTTCAAGAACATTCCAAAATAGTCCACTTATTATTACTGATTTTGACATATTCTTCTGCCACTAAAAGTTTAGTGGCCTGTACGCTTCCTCCCTCCTCGATTAAATAAGAGTAAAATTAATTTCTTGGTGCTTCCTTTAGAAATAGGGACGAGTTCACCCAACAATGACAACTTACTAGTTACCACAGACATGCATGGTGAGAACTAGGCTACTGAGAGAATCCAGGAGCTATTTCAGACCATTAGAATGTTATGAGTGCTAAAACAATTCCTGCGCTACCTGCCAGTCTCATGTTCGATCTTGCTAGAGAACAGCTTTGTCAGTAAAATCAAAGAAAGTTTATGAACACACACAAACTTTAGGCCAATCCTTCATAGAGCTGTAACCAGTAATAAAAGGAATAAAATCAGCATTCTTTTTTACTTACCTGCATAAATTCATATTCAACCTGAGAGAGTGGCTACCTTCAAGGCTGCTGTAGAAATATATATTTTTTGTAGAACTTTAGTATTACTTTAATACCTAGTGATAAGAGCACCTTTGGAATCTACAGGCTATTTGGGACATGTTTCTTTAAGTTAAAAAATAAAAAATAGTACTTGAAACACACTAAAATATCCCTGGTATACTTATATGGAACAATTTATGAATAATCTAAAATTCTTAGTGTAAGGGTATTCCAGAGAAAGCTACATTGTTCCTTTGTATCTGTTTGTGGAAGCATATGGCTTGTAATCATATACCATAATTCATTCTAATCTTGTGTCCTAAACTGAAAGATCTGTATCTATTTACAAATAGGCTCTCAGGTTTTTCATGCACCCCAGCTTTTCCAGGGCCGGACAAGCAATGGAATAGTTAGGTAATAGCCTCACTGGCCCCAGGAAAGGTCTTTCTCATTATTAGTCACACACAATGATAGTGATATCAAAAAAGTAGGAATTCACAGCATTTGTAGGAAAAAGTGTGATTCCAAACAAAATGACAGGTTCATTACACAAATAATGAAATTTATGATTAACCCAGTGGTGATTCAATCCTGGCTGCTCACCTGTCTCAGTCCCAGCGTCTTCGTGTCCCACATCTGCTTTATATTCCAGAAAAAGGGCTGCTCGCATTTCTGACAAGAATCGCTTTCTAACCACTGAGGAGCCTGGGGGAGGAGAAGGTCAGGGCCAACATCAGTGCAGCTGTATGTTTATTCTGAGTTATCCGAAATTAATACAATAGTTCTACACCTTGTGGAGGTTAGCAGTTTTTAAAGTTCCTCAATATATTATAGCTGTTGCCGTATTCAATAGTATGTTTGTGTTTTGAGTAGTCTTTATAATTTTAGTAATGTTTACAGGATTGTTCAATTTTTAATTTATAGCTAAGAGGGAATACTTCAATATTCACTGTGAACTCTTAGAGCTGTCTTTATATATTTCTTTTTTAATGCCAACGTTTTTTGAAATATATATACAGTTAAGTAAACAAACAAAACAAACAAACAACCCCACCACATTTCTTGCAGAATCCAGTGAACCACCACTTGGGAAGGCTGTGGGGTCACTAAGCTGACAAGCAGGAGAGCTCTTCTGGGCGGGCACCATGTCAGACAGACTTGCCAGCCTCACCTCCCAGCTCGCCCAAGTAGGCCCTTTCTTCCTGAACCCACACAGCCCGCCCACAAACCAAATTCCAGCAGCGAACTCTCTCTGTGCTAGAATTCTTGATGCGCATTTCTTTTCGCCCCACTAACCTCCGAGTTATTCATTAGTCCTACTCAGCCTAACACATGTGCAGCCTGTCATTAGTCTTACTCATCCTCGCACAAAAATTCTCAATTTCTGTTGAAACAGGGAAATCAAAGTCTTCAAATTGTTGAAAACTGAGAAAATATGTCTCTAAACAAAATATTACAAATTGTACTCAATTACAAGATGAACCCGTTAAAAGTGTATATAACCTCAATCACTTGCCATTATATACTTATTACATATAGAAAATATAAATAGAAAATACTAATTTCTATAAATTAAACCAAACAAAGAGTACGAAGTTAAAAATAATATTTTCTTGATCTTGAAAGTTAACACTCAAGAAAAATATCTCTGATAAGAGGGGACAATGCTGGGGGAATCATATAAACCAAATTATACTCACCCTTCCTTATAAAATACGCAGTGTGATAGAGAACTTTATAGGTTAGAAAGAGGACTCCAGAGTTTAAATGATGAGTGTCCCCCGTTCTGTTTCCTATTTCATCAAAACTGTGGCTTTCCTACTTCTTATTTCAGACCTGTCACTAGAAATATTTCTACGTATGACAGCCATTACAAAGGTCTTTGGTGGTGGTGGTGGGGGGGGGCACCCACACATTGAATGAAATGAGCTAACATGGAAGAGAGGTTTCTTTAAATAACTGGGGACATGTTGGAAACGAGAAGGGCGCTCAGAAGGAGTACTGAAGAGCTGTGTGCCCACGTGAGGGAGACTGCTGTCTCAATGGAGGATCACTTCCTGGTTGCTGTGCTCAGTGGCAAAAAGAAGGTGCTTTGGGAATACTGCCTGAGAACAACATCCCTGAGGGATACAGGCGACACGGCAGGTCCTGCTGACAACAGCCCGGGGATGTGTAATTGCAGGGGAAAGGAAAGCTGCAGTAGTCTTATGCCTGCGACACACACCAGTGTAACACCTACAGTACCACTTATGTGCGGGAAAGTCCCGTGGAATGAAACAACTAGCAAGTATTCAGGACAGCAGTGGTCAAGTATGAACATATGCCTCATAAGGTTGTGAGGATTCCATGAGTTAACATTTGTGAGGTGTCTGCATAGCGCCTGGTTTATAGCAAGTGTCATATGAGTCCAGGGGGCATGCCAAGTGCTTTGTATGCCTTCTTTTACTCAAATTTCATCACAACCATAGGAGATACAGAACAACATTACCCCCGTTTTACAGGTAAAGAAACGGTGGCTCAGAGACAAAAGCTACTGTCCGTGGTGGGTTAGTGGGTGGCGGTCCTGCAAGAGCCAGGAGTCCAGCCTGAGTCCCTCCGCTTGTCCACTACACTCGCTACAGCCTCTGTGAAGGGGTCCTGACCATTTCAACCTGCGAGGGTGTCCAAACATGGGTTCTGGAGTATGACACGGAACAGAGTCCTTGCCTTCAAGGAGCATAATTCTGTCTAGGGGTTTAGGAAAGAATATTATTTTGCTGAGCTGCAGGGTAGAGAGGCACATGGAAGAAAAATTATGCTTCAAATAATTTGAGATTAACAAACTGAAAACCAAAGTCAGTAATTAACAGGCTTTTTGGCACACATTTTAATATAAGAAATACCCATACCTTCATTTCTTTTAATAGGATTAAGTGTTATGCTGTAAACTATCATGAACCAGCCCGTTATGTGCCTATTCTCTAGGGAGAAAAAGTTTTGTTTTGTACTGAGAAGAGCAAAAGAGAACATTATAATCAAGTATTCTGACTGTTGCACTCTCTTTTCTACATCTTGTTCCATCGGCTTAATCCAGACAAAGATGATGTGACAAGAATAATCCCACCGCCCTGCTAATCTATTTTAATGCATATTATACATTCTGTGATCTACTAGTTTAAAATAAAGTTCTCTTTTCAAGTGGATTCATCCTAATTATTGTTACTTGCTCCTTTATGTCTCATGCCTACTTCCAAAAAGGAGCCCCTCTAATTATGACCTGGCAGGGAGGCAAACTGGCTTCTACCCCCTAGTGTGGTGCTGACAGCCACAGTGGGCTGGACACACTCCAGGCAAATTTCTGGGTGATGCAGAGAGAAATTCCTGGCAAGCACTGCAGGGCTCGAGAGTCTGGGGTTAATCCTCTATGCCCTTGCCTAAGGAAGCCCTACCAATCGTACAAAACCCTAAATCAGGGTCAAAGTCTTACAGATCATAGGCTGCTTACTTTTGCACTAATATTTACTCAGCTAGTAAAAAACAAAAACAAAACAAAAAACAACAAAATAACAAAACAAAACCTAATAAGAATGCTGCATCCTTTTGGCACAAATTGCTTTCCCACCAACACTGCCAAACCATTGAGACAGATTAGCTAACAGAGCAGGAAGTGTTACCAGCCAGTACACAAGTAATTTGGAGTAATCTTCCATAAATGACCAAAAGGAAGAGAAATGCCCACACAGGAAGCACCTTGAATAATGGGACTGTCTTTTCCTTCTCCCAATGTACAAATAAACTCCACAATCATGTAGAAATCCTGCTTCTGCTTTCTTGTTTTTTCTAAAAGAACTTACAGGGATAAGAATAGTGGATTGAAATCCAAGTTGCTAAACCCCTAGAAGAGCCACTAGCAGCCAGCCACTCGGCACCAATGGCTTCCTTCCTCATGAGCCAGGGAACACAGCCTCTGAGCTTCCCATTCATCAGAATAAGACTGAAATATGACAGGCCAAGAGTCCAGGGAACAGAATGGTATTCTAGCTGTCCTTGATGCGTAACTAGCAGTTGATAAATATAAAACACAATTCAGGAAATCTTTGCAGAGAAAGTATGCCACATTCTGCAATATTAAGCCAATGTCACATATGTTTCATAACAAGTTACTCTAAGCCCTACCAAAAGACTTTCAGAAAATTCAAAGAGTAATTAGCCAGTAAACGTAATCAAGATTTCCTCTTATTTGACTTGTCTGACCAGGTCATTTAAAAAAACAAGCAATCAGTATTTCTCTATATTATGGAGTGCATTTTATTATTCATAGGGTACCCTAGATCCTTCACTAGCTTACAAGATTCTTTTAGGCAAGAATCTTTGTGTATAGAACTGGCAGCTATAAAGACTTGAAATGAGTAATGTCACTGTTTTTAAAAATATATTGAACCCCCTTGGTTATGTCTTTTGTGCTATGCTTAAGACACACAGGTTTATTCAGTAATAATGAGGCTCAAAGCATTCAGAGGCAACACAAAGCAGACACGTGCAGGGACAGTAGGAACCCTGCATCCACTGCAATGATGCAAAGCACACAAGCTACAGATTATATTAGAACAGCACGCGGACCTGCACACTGCGTAAGGGCAGCAGGCTGAACAAATTGTGTTCAGAGGCAACAGAGTATGTATTACAACGTCATATCAATAAACCATTTTTGATGTATGTTCACTAAGTTTCCAGACTTTATGGCCACCCTGTTGGTGCTCAATAAATGTTTCTGAAGTTAAATGCTAAGTCCTTAACATCCTTGATACTCTCAAATCTTCTCTGGAATCAACTCTTTTGCTATCTACATCACAGGCTGCTGATGCCATTTGGAAAGAGAGATAATAATGCCCAGACTACCAAAGACGAGAATGGAAATCCTGCCTGGAAATCATCTGACATTGATAAAAAGCCTTCAAAATGTACATATCCTTGGCCCAAAGGGTCTATTTTTAGAAATATGTCTGAAATCAATAATTGAGCAATCACACAATGACAAGGTCAAGAATGTTCACAGCAGCATTATTTAAAATAGAAAAAAAAAGATTGTATAGATAAGAGTGTCTGTTTAAAGAACTGGAAGGACCTCAGAAGTCATCTCATTCAACTATTTCACTTTCTGGAAGAGAGAATGGAGATTCAGGGAAATTAAGGTACTTACCTAAACAAGGTCTCACAGTTAGTTAGTGGCCCAAACAAGTAAGAAGTCAGGTCTCCTGAAAAGAACACTGTGTGGATGTGGACACAATGGAACTGAACTCAGTGGAAAATGACACTGTGTGGACGTGGACACAATGGAACTGAACTCAGTGGAAAATACAAGCTGAGAACAGAGACATACTTTCCAGAAGAATGCCAGGCACCTAGCTATGGCTCCGAGCTAGTCACTGGCGCACCTCTCAGTTTCTGCACCAGGGGCGCTGTGGGACCACCACAGTACAGCCTGTTCCTGGGTAGCTGGAGACTGTTTCTGGTGTCCCTTCAATGTGCTTCCGAGGCTGAAACTCGGCCTACATGGTTAGTCTGTGTGCAGTGCTTGTGATTGTGGAAACTCAAAGGAGCAGGGGATGCAATACAGTGACACGCAGGGCTGTCTGCCCCTCGGCGGCATTTCCGGCAGGCCGGGTGGAAAACCGAGCGGCTGGTTCCTGGGGATGCCTCCGCTCAGCCTTGTCTCGCTCCTTCTCTTACCTCTTCTCTGCTCACGTCCATGTTCCACACCGCAATGCCACCATCCGAGGAGCAGGAGACGAGCTGCCTCGTGAGCTGAAGGTAACACAGCGCCTGCACCCTGTCACTGCAAACACCACACAACAGTCACTTGTCTCAATGGGGGGAAAAGACAGCAACTGCCCTCATTTAGGCCCAGCTCTCTCCCCTGGTTAGAACCAGCCCCTGCCCTTTTATCGCTGACTATTCGGTAATGGTAAGATGGATTCTGGTATAAAACACTTGGCGTTCTAGAGCTTACTACACAGAATAATAGTTTCTATGAAGTAAACACAACTTTTATCAGTTGTTAAGAACTGCAGGTCAGAGGTAAGATGATGACTATGGTTTTCTGGACCAATCACCACAATTTCCACTTGAAGTGCACAAGATTTACTTACTTGTTCCGAAACAAAGGACAAAGGAGGCCTAACTCCCTTACTGGAACACAACCATAGAGCAAGGAATCACACACTGCAGAGATCGCTGGTACACACGCGCGTGCACACACGCACACACACACACACACACACATGCACGCGCGCGCTCACACTGACAGGTGAAGAAATCTGCCCCTTCCTGATGCTTGTTGGCCTGCCCCTCTGGAAACCCTGGGAAACATCTCCTGACCCGTAGGCTTGTGTGGGGAATCTCTCCTTGGCACTTTTCAGCTTGATACTGCTTACAGTAAATGAGGACAGCCTAACCAATGAGGAGGAAAAGGCCTCCTTTTCCTTTCAAGTCTGGACGGCAAGAGCCTGAGTATTACAATGTCATAGCTCAGGTGAATACGACTGTCAAACCACACGTTACTTCTTAAGGAAACATTGTAGATATAAGAAAACAAGTGAGGCATCCAGTTCGAGAATGGCTCAGTATTATATTACACACCATCTTCCATGGTCAAAGTCCTCACCTGAGGTCTCCAACCCACGTCAGTCTTAAGCTGACTCATTCTGAGAGAAATGTGGGAAGTGTTCTTTGGACTAAGAAGAAAGAAAACCCTGTGCTCTTTTTTTTCTTTTTGCTATAGAACACCAGACACTGATGACTAACAGAAAAGCGTTTAAAAGTGGACTCAGTGAGCCCGATCAAATGGCAGTCTTCAAATAATAATGTCTCCCCTGCCCCGCTCAAACTCAGAGTCTTCCCCCAGCCCCATGAATAGTCACGTACTGGTGGCCCTGGAGCAAAAGCGTGCGGCCTTTCCTTCCTCCGATGTCCCACATGATGATGCTGTTGTCAGAGGCTCCTGAGAAGAGTAACCGTTGAAGAGGGTCCCACCAGAGGCAGGCGACACTACCTGGGGGGCAGAGGGGGAGAGAGAGGTGTGTGTGTGTGTTAAATATAACTCTACATTAGGACACCCACATTTGACAGCTGAAGACTGAACTAGCAGCAGCTGAGTCTTTCAGCAAAACTGTATCTTCCTTGTGCAAAGGGCCATTCAACATTTTATCACGAGTCATAGAGAAGACACAACACATCCATTATCCGAAGTTGTAAGATTAGGATTTTCAGTTGTACATCAAACTACTTTAACTGCAAAGATGTTTAAATAAATTTTTCCTTGTTCTGTCCCACAAAATCATAAAACAGCTGTATATGGTTAGTTCAGAAAAAGCTTTTGAATAAAAAATAGCTATTAATATTTAATGAGAAAAGGCAGTTAAGTTTACATCTTACATCTTAATATAAAAACCTAGACTATTCTAGGTCTCTGGGACCTTGCAGCCCAAGGTGACTACATTTAAGAAAATTCAATTAAATGTCTCAAAAAAAAAAAAAAAAGTCTGTAGGTATATCACACAATTATACCAGAGAATTTAGGTTAAAAATCCAAACCTTCCATTTTGCACTCTATATTGGCTAAACTTATCAAATTTGATAACCTTGGGTAAATCTTTCTACAGATTTCTCTTCGAACAGATCTCTTCATTGTTCCACTGACTGCTGCTTGTCTAGAAAAAAAATTATTAATAAACTTAATAAACTTGAACCAGTCACACAAGCTAATAATATTTTTGGTGGGTATATAGAAAATGGATGAAGCCATATTCAAAAGCAAACAACCAAACTGGTTTCTCAGAGAAACTTGAGTGAAAAGAGAAAGTATCCTGCAAAACTGGTTTCAGAGATAATTTTGCATAAATCCTGACCCTGTTTAATCCTATGCCCCATGCATTTCAGCTAGAGTAGCAGGTAAACATGGTCTTTCCATGGGGACACTACTAAGTAGTTACCAGAACCCACTCTGGTTTTAGCAACCCAGAGAAAACGCTAAGAGCCTGGGGTCATGAGACCATTAGTCATAAACAGTAGGTAGTGTTGTCAGGGGCTGTTTTCCTGCCCAAATCTATTCTAACTTAATGTTCTCTCTCCGTTTTCCTCCAAAAAGTCCCATATCTGATAAGCTTGATTTCCCCTCAATAGATTAGCTGGAACCATAGAGAACATTTAACCTGTTATAATTAGAACATTATTTTCATAGAAGTCCATCATTCTTTCTTTTCAAACACTCCCCAATTCTTCAGTCTTAACCTTAATTAGAACATTATTTTCATAGAAGTCCATCATTCTTTCTTTTCAAACACCCCCCAATTCTTCAGTCTTAACCAGACGGCCTCAAAGCCTCTAATTTTTTACCCAATACAGTTAGCTGGGTTTTCAAGCCCTTCCGCTGAGCCTTGCCTACTCATTGCCCTGTAGAAATAATGAAATGCCACAGGTCTTTCTTTCCCTTCACCCCACTCGGGAGGTTCCCACGGAGAGGCTGAATCAGCCCACAGGGTTTTTTCTAATTTTTTTCTAATTGTATTGATCCACTCCAGCTTGTTCAGTGTCCTAGAAACTGACAAATTAAAAAATAATAATAATAACATTTTTCCAAAGGTCTTATCATTTATAAGAAAATTTAAAAGGTTTCTGAAAATAATTTAATTGAAAAAGGTAAACAAAACAGAAAGTATGATCCACAAAGCAATCTAGAAGGGATTTTGATAATATCAAACCCATCCCAACACCCTACCTTCACTTAGTTTTCACTCTTTGAGCTCTAAATCCCCTATCTGGTCCATCAAATTGAAATCTGATAGATATCAGAAGTTTATCATTCATGAAACCACAGAGCAGAGAGCTAAATTTGGATGCCCAAAGTAGGTGGGAAACCTGTGGGTGATTCCACAGCCTACCTTCATGTCCTTTGAGTGTTGTGATGACTGAACAGGTGTTCTGTTCAAGCTTCAGCAGGGTGATCTGTCCAGAATAATCACCAACAAAAGCATACTGAGTATCAAAATCGTATCTGTGGGGAGCAGTCAAGGTCTATAACACAATCCATCTCAAAGTTATAAAATAGAAAATGTGCAATTTAAAGAGAATAAGCACAAACCTAAAACTATGAGAAAGGAAATACCCAACTGGAAATTATGCAATATGTAAATATTGAAGAAAAAAAATTTTAAGCTGGAATGACTGGGAAAATTAATATTCATTCATTCAATAAGAATTCATTTAGTACCTGTTTTACTATTCTAACCAACATCCTAGCACTGGGCAATAAAAAAGGTAAGAGCTGATAGATACAACAGACATAAAAATAAGTAGTTATAATCAAATTATAATAAAGTATAAAAAAGTAAATTACTCAATAACGAAAAAAGCTAGAACTGGAACAAAATGGCTATTATGAAATATCTCTGTAAATAATGTAAAACGGACAGCACATATGGACATGAACCCATCCTTCTTTCGGCCTAGATGATTTAGCTTTAAATAAAGAGATTGGCTTACTTTAAATTGCTGTGTAGAGTTTAATCTTTAATTATTCAAAAGGCAGTTACTTGGGGTACTAGCAAATTGAAATTTTAAAAATATATTAACTATTGAAATCAATTCATTACTTTCTCAGTCACTTTATGGCCAGAGAAATTTGTGGCAAATCAGTAGTTTACACAAAATAGGAGAACTACCATTTGAATTCCAAAGCACAGGTCAGAGGTAGCACTGCAGGCTGTGCCATGACTGATTCTGTGCCATTTTTTACCAATCCATGTGAAAAGCCTAACACATAACAGAAACAGTTATTTAGCACATGATGTAGCTGAGTATTTTCCCTTGTTTGATTCTAAAGTGTATGGTACTATTTTAAATATCTCATGCTGTGCATTTATTTGTAGCAAACGTTTGTTATAAAGGCTTTCAATGGAAAAAATTTTTACTATGCCAGATGTCCAGCTCTGAGAGGCACTAGCCTGGGGTATCTGCCTGCTGCTGATGGCCTTGACCTTGCCTTCGCTGACACGCAGCCACCACAGCTAGCCATAAGCAAGAGAGCCCCACGTAAAACAAATTCCATTTAGTGGTAGGAAGTTTTCAAAGCAGCGATTTCTTAACATTTTGGGGATGCTGAGGCACCTTTAAGAGTATTACAAGGATTATGAACTCTCTCCACGCACAAAAACCTATAAACCTCACTGTAGCCCATTTATGAACTCCAGGGTCACAACTCTTTGTTATATTCTCTTGAAGGGTCTGCAAATAACCAATTACTAGAAGATCAATTCCTTCTTCCCTTCGTTTATACAAAAAGTCTTTTTTTTCACTTTGAAATGTAAAGGAATGACAGAAGGGAGTTGCATTAATGAGGTTTAGGTTTTCCAAGATTTTGTATTAAAAATGTAGAGCACTTCCCAGCAGGGAACGGTGAACCATTTAATAATTATTTTAATAAACCAATTTTATACCCAGAAAAGTAGGTAGAGAAATGCTTGGATTTTATGTAAAATATATAGGAATCATTCAGTCTTTGGATCTCAATGAACAATTTATGATCAGATTCGAAACTGACTGTTAAGACAAGGAGGCGCAGGGCCTTTGGAAGGATACTGTAAACACGAAGCCCAGGATGTGAAGAAGTGCCTCCCCAGCATGTCCCCATTCCGGGTGCACATCCAGCTGACACACTTGTCGTGGCCGGTGCTGACCACCCACTCTGAGGCCACGCTGAAGATAATCGCAGACACTCGATTCTGATGAGCTGTAGGAACAGAAAAGGAAAGTCTGCGCCCTTCAGGAAGAAATGTGACCTTCAGAATCAAGTCTCGCAAGGTGAGATCTGAGGCTGACCTTTGCCACCTGGTTGGCCTGGAGACGCCGGGTTTAAACAGGCCTATCACGGAAATGCCTGACTGTGCACAGGTTTCAGATCATCCATCTTCCCCAACTCACTAACCAGCTTCCCAGGGCCCTGTCCTCTGACACTGCCGGGGAAGACAATCATGAACTACAAATCATTAAAGTGCAAAGCTCTAGAGCAGTGGTTCTCAACCTGTGGGTTGCAACCCCTTTGGGGGTCGAACAACCCTTTCACAGGGGTCGCCTAAGACCATCGGAAAACAAAAGGATATTTACATT